CCAAAAAGGATATCTCCAGGATGAGAAAACGAGCAATTACACTATTTGATATATTGAACCTTGAACAATAATATTGATAAACATTTGACATATCTGATGAAGCAAGAATAAACAACTTTTTAAAGTTCATTTAAAAAATAAGCAAATTTTTAAAGGCAAGGCAATTATTAACTCCAGGAAAAATAAAAAGCTGCATGAAAAACTTAATTCTCACGTAAGACTTCAGGAAAACTTTAAACTGTCACTCATCAAAGGGTACCACTAAGAAAGTTAAAAAGCAAGACACTGTCTGGAAGAAAATATAAGATGTCCACCTGATAAAGAACTCATATCCTGAATACATAGAGAACTAAACAGCAATAGAAGAAAGACAAGAGACCCAAATAAAATACTGGCAAGAGACTTTAAAGAGACTTCATAAAAGAAGATATCAAAATTACCAATAAGTACATGTAAAGGTGCTCATCAGGGAAAAGAGAGTAAAGTAATTTAAAAGGTATGAACATAAAAAGACAAAGAACAGGAAAGGCAAAGAAATGATAGGTAACTGGGATGGAAGAAATATTCTGTTACTTATCTGGGTGGTGGCGATGCAGATATCCATATACATAGAAACTCATGAAGCTGAACACTTAAGATTTGTGCACTTTATTCAATAAAAATTGGACTTCAATCTTTAAAATGTAGTATTTTGCAATAACAATTTTTGTTTCAGTATATAATTAGGGGAAGAACTAGAGGAGAAATAAAAACACTAAATCTACATATCTTCACCATACATTAAAAGATAGATCAAGAAACAGCTGTATAAGCAAAAATTTTTGAGAAATCTCATGGTTAGCACTATTGCCTCTGGAAAGATTGAAGGTTGAGAAGAGGGGAACAGAGGGCTGCTATTTTTGTTTGTTTCTTTTTTTTTTTTAAATTTTACTTTAAGTTCTGGGATACGGGATACATGTGCAGAATGGGCAGGTTTGTTACATAGGTATACATGTTCCACGGTGGTTTGCTGCACCTATGAACCCATCATGTAGGTTTTAAGCCCCACTTCAAACTATACTACAAGGCTACAGTAACCCAAACAGATATATAGACCAATGGAACAGAACAGAGACCTCAGAAATAATACCACACATCTACAGCCATCTGATCTTCGACAAATCTGACAAAAATAAGCAATGGGGAAAGGTGTCCCTATTTACTAACTGGTGCTGGGAAAACTGGCTAGCCATAAGCAGAAAACAGAGACTGGACCCCTTCCTTACACTTTATACAAAAATTAACTCAAGATGGATCAAAGACTTAAATGTAAAACCTAAAACCATAAAAACCCTAGAAGAAAACCTAGGCAATACCACTCAGGACATAGGCATGGGCAAAGACTCTATGACTAAAATACCAAAAGCAATTGCAACTAAAGCCAAAATTGACAAATGGGATCTAATTAAACTAAAGAGCTTCTGCACAGCAAAAGAAACTATCATCAGAGTGGGAGAAAATTTTTGCTATCTATCCATCTGACAAAGGTCTAATATCCAGAATCTACAAGGAACTTAAACAAATTCACAAGAAAAAAACAACCCCACCAAAAAGTAGGCGAAGGATACACAGTTTTTCATGACAAGTATTTTACTAACATTTTTTAACTGCACACATAGAAATGTTGAACAAATATTAAATATGTGATTATTTATATAAACCTGGGATGGAGAAGGTCTTTTAGGGACGCCTCTGTGAATATCATTTATTTTGCCAGCCCAGCATCCACTCCCCATTCTGTACTCTCAGTTCCCTACCTCCTCCACTAACAGTCCATATCATTCGGGGAATCTTCATTTCTGGCTTTTGCACTGGCTCGTGACTTGGGCCTAATTCAACTAGTCCAACCCATGGTCTTGGCCCTTGCTCTTAGAGATGTTTTTCTTCCAGAGATAGGCACAAGGCCCAGTTTGGGCCATTGAGAGTTATACCAAATAGTTCTGTAAAAATGCTGAAGGAAAGATATAGTTTGCATATACTTTTATATATACATATGTATAAGAATACATATACAGCCTAATATAGATAAGATATTCATATACCTTATGTGAATATATAGCTTTCATTCATTGAAAGCTAATCTAAATTTATATGTACAAGAACCATATATAAATTGTTAGATATTATTATTATTAGCAATTAAATTCCTTTTTTCTTTAAGCCAGTTTGGGTTGAGCTTTCTGATACCTGCAAGTAGCAGGATCCTGACTAATTCAACCACACAAAAGAGAAACGAGACAAAACCAACCAATACATGTAAGTAGATATCCATAAAACACCAACAGAAACATTTTATCAGTAGAAATCACCAAACAATTTAAAAGCAAATAGAAAAGGAAGACAGCATGGTTGTAACCCTTAGGATTGACAAACTTTTTGCCCTTACTAATAACAATATGGAAATGCTACAGAAAATGGGCAAAAATATAAATGCAGAATTTAAGAATAAAAACAGGAATGCATAAAAGTTTACTTTTTAAAAATCAAACAAATGAAATTAATCATGAACAAATTTTATCCAATGACATAGCTAAATATTGTTTTAAATCTTATTATCCAGAGTTGGCAAGTGTCTCACGGACTGCTGATGAGAATGTAAATTGGTACACCTTTCTGGAAGGCAATCTGGCTATAATAAAAATAGGCAAACCTTGGACACAATAAGTCTTCTTCTAGGAATTTATCTAAGGAGATAAAGATGTGTGCAAACATTCTCCCTAAAAATTTACTTATTGACTTGTACTTATTTATAGAAACACTGGAAAATGAATATTCAAAAGATAAGGCATTCATTATAATCCATACATTCCAATAGTGTTCAATAATTTAAAATATTGATGGAAAATATGTACATGTATAGAAGGATGTTCATAATTATGAAGTGAAATAAACAGGTCGCCAAACATACAGCAATGAGCCTGTTTTGTTTGTATAAATGCATACGCATGTGGAAAAAGATCTACTCAGATACACATCAAATGGTAGTAAAATTTCCGAGTAGTAGAATTATGTGTTTCCTAATTTGCTGGAGTTTTTTTCTGTTTATATGTACATTTCAGCCTTCTGGGTTTTTTCCTGCTGACTAATACATTTCAGCCTTTCTCCAGTGAATCTTCACTGACTTTCAGTAAGAAAAAAAAGTATTTAAAATTCATAAAAAGCCATAAGTCACCTCTAAGAGTGATTTCGGACATGCATTTGGAGCCTAAACGTATGCAAGCTTTTAGGTGAAGCACAGATGATAAGAAAGTCAAGGGAGAGGACTCTCTTTTAAGAAAATTTGGTTGTAAAAACAAGAAGTAAAAGGTCTCAAGAATATATATGGTCTATAGTTACTGAGATGAAAGTCTGCTCTGGAGAAGAGGAAGAGGCCAAATGTGTAGAAAGAGGGAATTACAGGGGGATAGGTCTAATGGAGCCTCCCACAGTAATATACTGTGCTTTCCATTCTCTGGCGGCCTCCATTTGGGGGCTGGGCTGCTTCACCTGGATGCCCACATGCCCTTTTCTCTTTGTGCCAAGCATATTCCGATGCTACACAGACTCAGAAATGGGGGCAGAACTCACCCTGGGGCAGAACCTATACTCTCAGCCTCTTAGTGTTTGAACCTCCTATACTAGGTGCGGCAGGCACTTTTCATCAGCACCTTTCCCCAGGGAAGAAAATAGGACGCTTGAAGCCCCCAAGAGGGACTCTTACCCCCGCTCCCATAGAAGACTGACCACCATCCACAACTGCAGTCATAAATTACGCTTGAGTTTGATCGTGAAAAAGTGAGTTTTGACAATTCATAGGACTTGAATGCTCTGCAAGACAGATTAGGTTTTCTTTTCATTTATTTTGAGCGTATTAACAGCTGGTGACCTAGATTAAGAAATAATTCAATATGTGAAAAGGCAGACCATACCACTGAATTCCTTCACAGATGGAAAGTGAATTCAGTGAAAAGCCTCAGACCGAAGAGTCAAGTAATTACTTGGAAGGCAAGAGGAGGAGTACCTACAAGTGGGTAAAATGAAGTGTGGAAAAAGGATGACAAAACCTGGCCCAGATCCCAAGGCCAGCAGATCCCTGGCTACTTTCTGCACAAGTAACCCGGGCCTGGAAAGGAGCAGGCAGCCTTGCTAATTCAGCTGCGGAGGGAGCGGCAGGAGGAGGATCACTTTAGTTCAGGATGAGCTTGGGTAGATATTAAAAGAAATACAATCCTCTTACTGCATGGAGAGTGTGCATGTGTGGAGGGAGGGACTAGAGGCAGCCACCAAGCCTCTGGGCCTGGGGACAAAAGGGATCAGTGGCCCCTCTGCTCAGCAACTCAGGGTCAGCTGAAACTGGGAGGCAGCCTGAGATTGGGTCTGAAGAGGGAAATTCATTGCCATCCTGAGCAACACGGCAAATCCGACTTCCAGTAAAACAGGAAAACGCTAAATATCCCATATCCTAGGGACGGAAAATACTGCCACGTGAAAGAGAACACAGTTCAAGTGATACCAATCATGGGGCTCATTAGCCGGTGTTGATTTTCAAGTACAATGCTCAAGCTACAATATAAATGAAATGTCCTTTGCTCAGGACACAAATGAAGACCTTAGGGCCGTCAGATACAGCAGTCACCAAGGAAGCCAGGCAAGCCTGGTGCCTGGTACAACTCCCCTCCACCTGCTTGGGGCTGTGCTTGCTACGGACTTGGGTTCCATTCATGCACATCTCCGGGGAAAAAAATTACTGTGGGCAATTTACTGACGGACTTGCAAAACAACAGAGAACCCAATCTGTGTAATCTGGATTTTTAAAAATGCAATAAAAGGTCCTTCTTTGTGCAGAAAGGAACTATTAGGTTCAGGTTATATTTATTTTTGACCTTCTAAAGAAGGACACTGGCGTCAAAAGGGACACAAACATACAGACCAAAAATAAAAGTGTGTGTATCTAGCTCTCTGTTTTGAACTCCAGAACTCACTAGACAGCACTCTGTGATCACGATCCTGCCCTATTGGTCCTGAGAGATATTTTGGTGGCTTCTCTGTTAAGTCGTTCTTGTCTACTGCGCTTAAGTAGCTACAAAATCCCCCGCAAGAAGGACTGCTGCCGCAATCTCCCGCCCCGATCTGCGGGCCGCGTCCCCGCGAGCTGCCTGCGGGCGC